ATCTTTGTAAATCTTCATTATTCATTAAATAATTACGATTTACTACAGAAGTATCTCCTTACGTATGTGTATGTATGTAGGTGTGGGTATTTATATCTGTACTCCCTTGTGAATACTTGTTGTTTTCCCAGCAAATGTTGCATGTACATATTGATGTGTGTAGTACTTCGCTAAATTCTTCGACGTTATCGTCGTAGCTATCGGTGCCTCTTGCTCGCGCTGTGGCAAGTAGTGCTCGTGGATGTGCTATGTGTCGGGGGCACTTACAGTAGGTTGTCGTGGCTTGTATTTGAATACTTTTTCTACTGAGGTCCTTTTGTACGTCCGTACCGGCGACCTGGAAGATATTAAAGAAGTCTTAAGTACATTTGTCATTGCATAATTATTCTTAGGGACTTTTCTGAGCATTACAGCCCTATTCTGTTGCCCTCACAAAAATCACCACACTCACTATTGTGAGGTTTCTGACTATTGTGAGGTTATCCCTATGCTGGCGTAAATTCGAAAGCTCATACGCTCACAATTGTGAGAAAATTTATGATGTACGAATGAGACCCTCACAAGAGAAAAACAGCCGATTTTTATTGAGCAAATGTTTTGTTAATTTTCGTTCGCTATCAGTGTCTGTTATTTTTTATTTTTTTTTAACTAAAAGTATATTCAGTAGTGGCAGAGTTATTGCATGTTTTTTCGGCAGTTTTGGAAGAGTTAGAGCAGGCATAGGATTTCATTTCCATACAAACTTTTGCACCAAGTTGTGGATTGCAAACTGTGTGAAGTACTGGAGCTACTCCTGCTTTGTTATTTTTTTTTTTTTCTTTTCACCTCGTGTGGTGATTTGGTTGAGCTTTTTTCTTATGAGGTGTGGCAAGAATAACCTCACAAAATAGACCTCACAAGAAATCTCACAAATTTTTGCTCACAACTCAGTTGTGAGGTTTTATTAGAATAGGGCTGTTTATCTCCATCTGCACTGGCCTCGCTATGCATACACATGTACATATGTATATACTTTTGTATACACAGTTCTGTGCGTACATACATTAGAACTTATATGCACATGTGTATGTACATGCATATGCAAATTCACACTAAGTCCCTTATATTTAAAATAATTTCAATGTGGCTATCATCAAAACTTACCTCAAATTCCAAATACTTTTAGCCTAACAATTCAATGATAACCCGGTTTAATTGACGGTATCCAAACATCACGGAACCTAAAAAACCGTTAGTTGCACTTGCGCGAACCGTTTTATATTTTCTTACAAGAAAACTTTAACAAAGCACCTTTTTTATTTTTTTTTCACACTTCAAAACTCGCGTCCAGTTGCA